AGCCTCTTCATAATCCACCCTCTTTGTGTTGTTCTTTATGAAATGTATTGCTGCCCCGAGCTTGTCTAGATAGGCATTTACTCATAACGCATATTTCAGTTTCCTTGGTTATCTTTCTTTGGTTCTCAGCACAATGTTTCAACAATACACTCATTATTAGGAAACCAGGAAAATCTTTACACATTCCCATTTTTCCATTTTTGTGTCTCATAATTAAGGAATGCACTCATTCAATACCTAATTACCAATTCTCTTTATTTTCTAAAATGCTTATCATCCCGATGTGCTTATTTGTGTATTTTCCAATGGGCCTCTGGCCAAGGTTGGATCAATAATGAGTGCCACAGAGTCATCTTTTCTCCCCGTGCATCTGGGAAACATCACTTTTTTCTCCATCTAAGATATATTTAACTTATATAGACTTTTATCATTGTCATTTCAATCTTCGGATTTCTAATCTTTCTGATTTACTAATCGGTGCATCAACATTCCCTCTCCTGCGGTCCTAACATTCTCCTAAGTGTTTAGAAAAGTCCATGTTTCCTTTAAATAATTCTTTTGATTTTGAACGATGACTCACTATGAATTCCACTATTACCTAAGCGTCCAGAGCCCTGGGAAGAAGACTGGCTGCAGAATGGGATCTGGTTTCCAGGAGCAAGTCTGCTCTCCCTGAAGAAGGCAGCTAGCCGAAGGTGGTCAGCTGTGCTGTGCCACAGGGCTGGGAGTCTCTCTCTGCCCCACTCTCGACTTGACCTGGAGGTTAGGAGCCGTTCCGGAAAGAGCCCTGGAGACCACGGTCTGGTGCCTGCTCTTTTCATGATTATTTCAGACCTGTCACTCTAGCAACTCACTTTACATTCTGGTTTAGGTGTGCTTGTCGGAAAATAAGGGAGGGGAACCAAACTGTCTATGTATTTCACTCACCTTCTCGGAATCCATTGAAGAACTAATGGATTTTGTATAAATGAAATGAGAGAATACTTGGTATTTTAGAAGCAACCGGTTTGTTTTTCTCTTGGGGACCAAGTGACTTTTACAAAGGGTGATGTTTCCTCATTTTTGCCATCTAGAAGCTACGTGCAGAATATGCCATATTTATCTACAAGACCATAACCTGCAGTTGTGCACACCAACCTTCCCCTTGCCTCTAGCTACGGTAGCTCTTATTCTGTGAAGATTTATGTGCTTCTGCAATGAGGCAGGATGGGCACGTATTTAAAGAAAAAAGATAATGGATAAGAAAGCAGCTTTGGAGCTAAAGGGTTGGGCTCTTTCCACCACTGACTAGCTTGGGACCTTTAAAAATTAGCCTTTTATAAAAACAGTTTCTTCATTGGTGTTGGTTTTGGTCTTAGGTGCTAATTAGTCAGTTCTAACTCTTGGCAATCCAATGACTACTAGAACAAAACACGTCCAATCCCTCTATCATCTTCACAATCCATCTCATTTTAAGGGTCTTCCTCTTTCTCACTGCCCTCCACTTTAACAAGCATGTTGTCCTGCAGGGACAGGCCTCTCCTGATAACATGTCCACAATATATGAGACGAAGTCTTTCTACCCTCACTTCTAAGGACCATTCTGGCTGTATGTCTAAGACAGATTTGTTTGTTCTTCAGGTAGTCTGTTCAATACTCTTTGCCCACACCATTATCGATCGCTTCGATTCTTCTTGTCTTCCTTACTCCAACTGTCATAGACATATGAGATGACGAAAAACACAACTTGGCAGGCATTAGGCATGAAAGTGACAGTGCGACTGTTCCGTACTTTAAAGAGGTTGTTTGTAGCAGATTTGCCCATCAGTGTGTCATTTGATGTCTTAACATTGATTCCATGGGCAGTGGTTGTAGAGTCAAGTAAACTGAAATTCTTGACAATGTCAATGTTTTCTCACTTTATCTTCATGTTCTCCGACGGTCCTCCAACTCAGGGCAAATCCCGCCATGAAATATTAAATGAAACATTGCTCAGTTTTGCACATTCACCACGATTGGAAAACTCCACAGGGCTTTCAAGGGATGATTGTACTAGATTACCACACCTTTCTTCCTAGTCCATCTTAGTCTGGAAGCTCCCGTGAAATTTGTTCAGCTTCACAGCAAGACTCAAGGCTTCACTGACAAATGAGCTGTGACTGCACACGGGCATGGCCTGGGAATGGAATCTGGCTTTCCTGCATGCAACCTAAGAATTCCAGCACTGAGCCACACTCCCCCCTCTTTTGTTAGTAACATGGGATTACTTTGTTAAAAGAACAAACATTTTATCTTTTCAAGGTTACTATAAGAATATGTTGATATACGGGGGCAAAGTGACTGTCACAGAATAGGTGGGTCAACAACAAAAGCTGATTCTCGTTTTCCCTTTCCTGAATTAGCACTGAACCCCCCTCTACCACCACCCCCCCACAAAAACACCCCACAACAACCCTAGTCGTCTATACTTACTGAGCCTGACAGGGTTCTCTTTCCACCTCACATCTCCTATTTCTTTTGATGGACACTGTACACATCACTATGAGAGTGGTGACATTCTAATCCCTTCAAGTTTGTATGCTTGCTACCAGAGAGCACCTTACAGCGAGCCTGGAGTTGACAGCACTGATTTCACACAACTCTTCCCGTGGACAAAACACACTGGTGGTCAGAATCAAGAACCAGGCATTAGGGAATTGATTGTTTACCTTGCTTCTGAGTTGATCACATAATATTGGAAACCCCCACATCACTTATGAAACAAAGAACATTTCTCATTTGCAAACCCTACGGGGATGTTTGATGGGTTTGAAAATTGCTTTAGAATTCTCAAGTGGAAAGTTCTATAAATCTAAGTGAATGATGCAAACAACAACAACAACAACAATCCCCACACTCAGAATAAGGCCTTCTGTACAATCCAGCTTCTTTCTTCAACAGAGACAAGCACTCTTCAGATTCATGGGAGGACCAGCCTCCGTGAGTACAGATTTTTTTTTTATGAGTACAGATTTTAAAACGCCTATGAATGACAACACTATCATTTTCACAGCCAGTAATTTCATCCATCAATAACAACAAGCATTAAGTGTCTACGGGATATGCTGCAAAGAAGCAAATGGCCACATATCTACTGAGTACAATAGGAAAGATTAATTTCATTTTTAAAAAAGGATTGCTTAAAAATATATATTTGTCTGAAATCCTTTACCCTTTTGTGGGGGTTTTGTTTCAACTTTTTATTGTGGGGGCTTCCATTTCAGATCGTCCTTTTTTTATTCAACAGCTTAAACTATTGATACCTTTAAACCTTCACAATTTCTTAATGGTGACCAGAAAATCATTCTGAATGAGCTTTCATGATGGGATGTTTAATTCTAATGACTACATCTAGGTGATTCTGAACGCCCCCCCCAAAAAAAGAATTCTCATACTGCAGTCCCTCTATCAACATCCTTCTCCTATGAATTAATAATAGTCAGGAAAACCAAGGGCAACATCTATATCCCAAGAGTAAGGGCTTTGGGACAACATAACTATTAGTGCATGTGGCAGCTACATAATCTCCTGTCAGCTTGAGCGAAGGGGTGGAGTCTAGCCTGCCAATCAGGTCATAGCCATGAGGCCTCTGTGTGGGCATGGCCTTCTCCTCAGGATTCTGGGAGCGCCTGTCTTCCTCCCTGGAGGCAGGGGCCTGGGGTGGGGGGAAGGGAGGCACACACACTCGCTGCTTGACATTTTTCCAGTTGACAAGCCACATAGAGACACACTGATGGAGCCTGAGCCCTGGAGCTGGCACTGAGATGCTTCCATTGCCACTGGATCTACAAGACTTTCCACCCAATGGCCTGTGATGTTCCTGTATTTGGCATCATTAGATGGCTGCATGAATCTGAAGAGGAATTAATGGACTACTATCAGACATATGGACTAATATCAGATTATGGACTTGATCTGGATTGGGCTGGGATGCTTTGTTAATATACAAACAATCTTGGATATAAAACTTTCTCTTACACATATATGACTGTCAATGAATTTGCTTCTCTAGTCAACCCGGACTAACGCAGTACACTGCTTCTTTCCCAGGACTGTCATAAGGTTCTCTTGAAAGAACCCCTGACTTTCAAAAAAGCAACTAATCAAAAACCCGTCTTGCCTTGAGTAGTTTAACTCTGTCAGGAGGGTTATACTTGCTTTCCTAGAGGGTGAAGAAGAACACTTGAGATCTCAAAATGACCACAGCGTAATCTACAGAAACTTTTCATAGCCTATTAATTATGAATGACCAGGTAAATCTTTAATATACATATCATTGGTTTAGTCATTTGGTTATTCATTGGTTCAATGAATAATCACTTTTTAACAATGTGAATGTAATTTTATTCAAAGTGGTTTTTTTATTTAGTACCAATGTGTTTTGTTTTTAATTATTCTTTAAAAAAATGTTGTGACATTCAATGGCAGAAAATGATAAAACATCTTTTTTTAAGAGATACTAAAAGAGAAAACAAAACAAAACAAAACCAGATGTGCCCAGGGTTTCTTTGGAAAAACCATGTTGGTCATCTATGGTGTCTCAGATTCTGGGCTAGGTGCTTAATAGTTTGAAAAGACTTCATGATTCTCATGGGAACAAGCAATAGGGATTTACCAACATTTAAGCCTCATGTTGTGCCATGATCCCTTGAAATTTGGAGGGCGGGGGAGATTTTAATTAAGAAAGCAAATGGATTGAGAAGTCCCCTGTTGAAGGTTTTTCTGGAAAGTTCCAACCACTGGTGGTTCTGGTGGACATAACACTTTCATAGGGTGTCCACTACGGACTGCCCTGCACTTCCTTAAGGAATCTCTCACCGGTGCATTCTTCAGAGTACAAAGGGAACACAGGGAGGACATCAGCCGAGAACACAAAGGACAGAGAGGCTTTGGGGAACTTCATCCATTTAATTCCATAGTAGACTTACCTGGATCTAAGAGGCACCGCCAGGGGTTCATGGACTAGACATATCATCCTTTACCTGTTCTGTAGCCAGTGTTGTTGAGATACACCGCAAATGTCCGAGGTTCGTGCAGTGCCTGCCAGGACGGGGAGGAGCAATTCTCATTGTTGGTGTAGACATTGTGGTTGTGCACATATTTCCCAGTGAGCATGGAGGAGCGGGATGGGCAGCACATGGGCGTGGTCACAAAGGCATTGATGAAGGTGGCCCCTCCATGCTCCATAATTTTTCTTGTCTTGTTCATGACTTGTAGGGACCCTGAAAGGCACCATGACAGCACGGCTTAGGAAAGTGCAGAATACGAGCACGCAGTTACACTGTGTTACTCAGGGCACCTCTGGTCCTCTAGTTTCATTCATTGCCCTCCTTGGCTGAAAGGAGTCTATAATTTGATCTGCTTTCATCCCCCACCCCACGCCCCGCCAAAATTAAACATTTGGAATCCTACCACGTCAAGTATTTTGCAAAAACAATAAGCACATTTCAGTCTCCTGCTTCCTAATCACAAAGGAAAAAATGCAGGCTAATCTGATAATTAAAGCTAAAACTTTTGATTCAGAGCAGATTCAAAGGCCAGCAGTCTTATGAAAATTACCAGAGAACAACTGCCTGTTACACAGAACCCCCAAATCCCCAATGCAGACACATGCAAATGCTACGACATTGTGGTGATTCCCAGATAAGTGTTTCTAGCTGGATGAGAGAAAAGATGAAACAAGATATTTTCTCTATTATGTGAAAGGCTCTCTAGAAAGCCTGTATTTAATTAAAAGGAAAAAAAAATCCTCAGTGTAACTCGGTATCCTCCAGCTAGGTCACCAAACGCCTGCCAATTTTTCTATCAGGTCTGTGTGCCACCAGTTTATATTTTGATCTGTTTGCTTGTGATTTTTAGTGAGCGGTTATTTTCTTGTGAAAGAGCGGTGATTCCATTGCATTCAAAAGTATTTACACAGTAATAAAACATCCCATCTTAACTGTCAGGATGCAATTATAAAACAAGATTGCTGAGGAAGAAAAAAAATCAAAACAGAAACCAAAAACCAAAACGATTTCAATGACTCTACCCAGTCAAACACAGGAGCGGAACCACATCCAAAGACTACAGAACAGCCGAGGCCAGAATTCAATAGTTCTTTCGGGACTTGTCAAGAAATGCACTGCAGAGCATTCCAGCCAAGACCATTGTGTGGACTTTTGGAACCTCCATTTCCAGCAGGTCCACTCCTTCTGAAGAAAGGGAGAAAGTCTATGCAGTTTTCCAGCAAGGAAGAAGGTAATGCAAGCAGGGGAGCCCTTCGGGACAGAGGAGAAGCCACGCGGTTGTCCCCCGCAGTCACAGTGAGTGACATTCCTGACTTATCATGTGGTAGCTTGAAGCCAACAAGAACAGGAGGAAGGTTTTCTATGGGGAACTTGTTAACACCGCCTCATAGATGCTTCAATTGGCTGTGCCGGGAACGGCTTTTCTTTTCTAGTTGATTCTCTTTAGGGGATCAAGCAGTCTCTTTTGTAATCAATGAACAACATCTCGTGTACTGAGCAACAACAACATAAATGGACATTCTCTGCCTCTGAACCTCAGTCATATCCTTCTTTGATACAAGCTCAATTGCTAACCTAAAGATCAGAGGTTTGGGCCTACCCAAGATTACCTTGCAAGGTGATCTAGTGCCGCCCTCCCTCCCATGCCCCAATCAAACAACCTGGTTATTGGGAGCCCTGGGACGCACGATATCCATGGGGCCACACTGATTTGGAATCACTCCACGGTGTCTGGTTAGGTTTGGTTTGGGATTTCTGTAGGTAAGTACCTAGATGCAAAAATTTCTTGGGGCTATTTGCAAAGTAACACACAAGAGAGATTGCAAATACAGAAGTACTAGTACCTTTGAAACTTGGAGAGAAGTGTTTAATTCGATTTCTAAAACAGGTGGTCATAGACCGCAGGAAATGATGCTGGATGAGTGGATGGCTATGGGTGCCTGGTGGCTGCTATGTACAGTAAAACAAGTGGTGTGATGGGAACCGCACATTATTTTCCTGAAATTAAGAGGAATATGAAGAATTCTCTTGGTGAGAGGCAGCGTTAACAGGTAGTCTGGAGGCCAGGCAGAAACATGTTTGAATAGATCAAATGACGGCAGAACAGGTGCTCGGTCAAAGGCACACGTGATATGTATATATGTGACATGTGTTGAAGAAGCACAGCTGTGGTTATGGTCTTATGTGGACCGGAGAACCGAATAAGGCTGGTCTGTCAAGGATATCAGTCAGGGGCTGCTGAAACCATCGAACCATGCGATCAGACTCTGAATCGAATGGTGCCTCTCAAATATGGCCACTCTAAAGGGAAAATCCCATCGACACTGTGAAGCATTAGATGGTTCAGTGCTCCATGCATGGATAGGAAACTGAAGGTGCAATGGTTTCACTGATGGTAAAGAAGTAATTACAAGGGAAATGTGGCAGATAGGAATCAAAAGAGGTCCATCCATTTCAGAAATGTTGTGTTTCGCATAAGCAACTTCAGAAAGTTCATGAGAAATTTAAACATTATTTTTCCCCACTAACTTTTTGGAAGTCGCTCACATTTTGTTGCCTGGTCATTCTGGAGATACAGAGGACTGGAGACATGAGCTTGGAAAGAGACTCTGAGATAGAAACGGGAGGTGCCAGATTCTTTGTTTTCCTCTCCTCTGCAGACAGCGGTAATCATTTCTTATTTGAATTCCTTGAATTCTGGGGAAACTCGGTCAGCAGGGGTGACTGGTTTCCACTGCCCATGAATCTCTTTGAGGATCGTGGTGGTTTGGTAGAATTTTTACTTTCCATACTGGTCTCTTAAAAGTCTCTACTCCTGGTAAAGAATCACTGTACCCAGAAACCCACAGGGGCAGTTCTACCCTGTCCCATAGTCCAACTAGTGCTATGGCTAGTTGGTTGTGATTTGCTAAATCCAAGAAACCCTGGTGACTACATGGTTAAATGTTCAGTCGATTCAAATGCATGCAGCAGTTCTATGGGAGAAAGGTCTGGCGATGCGTCCTTATCAAGACAAAAATGAAATCCAACCAATGGCCAGAGAGTCGATTCTTACTCCTCGGAACCCTGTAGTACAGAGTAGAACTGCCCCAGAGGTTTGTGAACTGTGGACCTCTCTGTTAATGGTTGAGTGCTTAACCACTGAGCCACCAAAGCTCCTTGATTGTGGTTAGCTGCCATCCAGTTGGTTCCGACCCGTAACGACCCCAATTGATCGATGTACCACAGAATGAAACACTGCCTGGTCCAGTTCCATCTTCACAAGTGGCAACGTTGGAGTCCATTGTTCAGCCACTGTGTCAGTCCACCCCATAAGTCTTCCTCTTGTTCCCTGGCCCTCAATTTTACCATGCATGATGTCCTCTCCCGGGGACTGGTCTCTCTTGATAACACATCCACATCTCTGGGTGAATGCAGCGAATGTGCACAGGAACGCACCCCATTCCCTCTGCTGAATCAGAATGCACAGGGAGCCAAGCAAAGCGCACCTCAACGTTTCCTTCTGACTGCAGAGTGAGCTACATTGGTCCGTCATACTGCCTTCTACTCCATCCATCGCCCCCAGGAGGGAACCCTTGCGTTTTCTCTAGGAAAGGGCCAAAAACTATTCTGCAAGACAAACTGAACAAACTTGTAATGAAAACTGTTGAAAATTGTTGGGACAATAGTCTCTCCTATAGTTGGAAGAGTTTAATTATGTTTTAAGCCCAAATTCCTTAGTCCTCAGGATGCCAGGCCTCTGTTCTCTAAAATGCAAACAGTGCTGGGCCTTAGTCATTAGAACCTTATTTCATAGAAATGACAAGAATCTGAGGCTGAGACCTCAAAACAAGACCTGCAAGGTGGAGAGACAATGTCCTTGCACAATGGATGGATGGATGGACTGTGATCAGAGCTGTACAAGCCCCCAATAAAATGATTTAATATAAAAACAAATAAATAAAATGCCATAAGGTTGCAAAAAAAAAAAAGGTGGAGACACAACAATGAGACGAGAGGCCTAAACTCAGGTGAGAAAATCTGGATTTGGGCCGCTGGTTAGCTTGAGCAAGCCAGCAAACCCTTTTGCTTGCATTTCTCAACTGTGTGATGGTAACTAACAACAACAACAACTGGCATGCTCTAGCTGAAATGTGTCGGGTGAGCAGCTTTGTACAGGTAGCTGTGGTTTTCCTCTGTGCTCATCTGAATCCCACCAGGGTATATTCTTCCCGGCCTTTCCCTCTCTCTCTCACCCTCTAGCTAATCTCCATCTGACTTGCAACAGCTAGATAAAGCGGGATAAACTACACTTTCCCTATGTTTTAAGCCTTCAAATGTCGATGTTGGCTTACAATAAAAATAACGATACAAAATCTTTTCCCCGCCCCCATGCCATCACCTCACTCTCCCAGCAGGTAACAGGCTGCATTGCTGCTCTAAACTCTCCTACCAGGTGGAAGGCTGGACAGGCCTTCTATGAAGCTGGCTGTAATTACGATGGTGTAACTGGCACACGGACACTGCTGACTGGGCCTGACTTGAACAGAGGAAAGGCCCAGGCCACAGCTGAGCCCCAGTAATGCCAAGAAAAGTTGTCTCAGTGCCAGAACCCCCGGTTGGGGCTGGGGATGTTTGCCACTGCTCCTGCAGAAATGGGGGATCCTGTAAAAGCAATCAGCTGTGGACCAGGAGGCGAGGTAGAGTTTGGCTCAGCGGTGAGGAGTGGGAGATGTGGTGGTTCTTGGAAATCCTGCCAGGTTTCCAGTTTCTGCAGAGTTAAAAAAGCAAGGCTCTAGGAGTACAGTGGAGTATGGGATGGGTTATTGGCACTGGGCAAGACCATGGCAAGAAATATAAATCATTATACACACCCCGATGGATTTCCTTCTAAATCATCTCGATGAAAAGGGAGGGAGGGAGAACATGTCTCATTAAGCTGAAGGATTCTTTCCCATTCCAGATTCACTTGATCTTAGCGGGGATCATACGCACTGGCTTCCGAGCGGCGGCGGCGGCTCGATGTGGAGTCTGGGTTGCCTGATGAGTGATAGCGCTGACCGGAAAAGCAAGGGGGAGGATGGCGCAGGGGCAGGCAGTGTTTCGGTCACAGTGGCTGTGAGTGGGAACAGCCTTGACAGCACCTATCAACAATACACGCACTCACACCTGAACAATGCCTTGAGTTGTTGAAGAAGTGAATCTAGGAGGCATTTCACCTTTCCCCTCGAGCAGGGGTTCTCAACTGGGGGGTCGAACTACCCTTTCACAGGGGTCGCCCCATTCATAACAGTAGCAAAATGAGAGTGATGAAGTAGCAACAAAAATAGTTTTTTGGTTGGGGGGGTGGGGGGTGGTGACCACAACATGAGGAACTGTAGGAAAGGGTGGCGGCCTGAGGAAGGTGGAGAACCACTGAACTCGAGTTATGCAATTTTTCCTATCCAGCCAGGCAGGTTAGGATGATTGTAAATTGCCGGATGTTCTTTGGCAAGAGATAAAATGTTATACATATGCAAAGTTCTAGCACTTTTATCATCGAATCTCTCCTGTGCATTACTTCACAAAGTATTAATATTTTATTTTCCTCAAAGCTGAGAAAGTGGAGAATGGAACAAATCTTTCTTTCCCCTCTGGAGTTCATATACTCTGATCAGAGCTCCTTCCAGCCTTTGCCTTCCTATACAAAGAGGTATATTGTTTTATTCTTTTCCAGTAGCCAAAGCATTCTATTCTAATATTTGTAATTGGCCTTCTAAGCCTTTCTCAGTCAATTGCGTCTTTCTGGAGGCATGGTAACCAGAACTGCCTGCAGTCTTACAGGTGCAAATGCTTCAAAGCATCGCAGAGGCAAAGGCCCAGTCAATCCCTTGGCAAACATAATTATATCTAAATTTTTTAAAATTCAAAAGCCAACTGTAGCTTAGAGCCATGGGGCTCAAGTTATTTTGAGACCATCCTTATAGAAGGTTGTCTCCACATAATAACACTACCATTCCATGTGTTTTTTCTGCTGAGAAAGGAAGTTTTCTCTGATTTTTTTTTTACCCATAATTCTTGGTGGTTCATTGCCATCTTAAAAAATATATATAATATTTTATTGTGTTTTGGGAAAGGATTACACACAGTTTAGGTTCTCATTCAAGAATTTCTGCACAAGTTGTTCATTTACTGAAACTGGATATATTCTTCGTATTACGTGAATATCCGTATCACTTCTGTTCTGGTTGTTCTAATTTATTGCCATCTTTTTTCTTTTGCCAACCAAGTAATAAAGGCCAGGCAGGCTGGAAACCTCATCTCAAAGTTCTGTTCTCTCTCAGAACCTAGAACATCATGGTCCATTTAGAGGATGCTTTTAGGAAGAGCTCCATAAATATCTGTTGATGGGCTGATGGCTGGAAGAGAGAGTGGTTAAATTGTAGCTGTCAAAACCCCAGGACTACACAGATCCTAGTTAGCATAGCTGTACTTTTCAGCTTCCCTAAACCTCATTTTTCCCGTGCATAACATGTGTGCTGAGAATAGTAACTGCATGTGAAATAGAAGCTCCAATTGCTCTTGCTTCCCTTTGGACTTAGAATGAGACCCTACAGAGTAGAACTGGCCTCCTCAGGGCTTACAAGGTGGTGAGCTTTTGGAAGTAGATCGCCACACCTTTCTTCTGAAGTGTCTCTGAGTGGGTTCAAACTTCCAACCTTTCATTTAGTAGTCCAGCGCTTAACTGTTTGTGCCACTCAAGATTCCAAAATTGAAGCTAGTATTTATTAATTGGTCAACAAATATATACTGAATGAGAAAGCGAACTATCAAAACAAGGATAACATTTTGAATTGCTAGAAAATATATTTACCAATCAAGGCCCCAAATGATTTTTAAGGTAAATACATCATACCGAATAGGGAGATCATGGTGAGTTTTGGGATTCATTTCTGGGAGTCTTGTTGACTTTTTGAGATTCAGTAGTTTTGGATCCACCATCTGGCTACAAGATGAGGCTGTCGGTCCTCAAAGAAGTCTAGTCTCGGGAGGCCTAGGGAACAGTTTTATTCAGTCCTGTACGGTCTCTATGAGTCAGACCACTCTATGGCAGTAGATTTGGTGTTTCATGGGCTCATTAAAGACTCCTGATTGTGAGGTGTGTTAGGTGCTCAGTGGCAGTCCAGAGAGAGGAGTCTGTCTGTTCCTGGAAAAGTTTGTCATCTTGGAAACATTATACAGGTTGCTATGTGTCAGAACCGACAGGGCGGCAGCGGGTAGTTTGGTTTGGGCATATTCTTAGCGCCGTCCTGGGCACTGGAGATCGAAGCATGAACAAAACACAGCTCTGCCCTTCAATCAGGTGAAAAAGCATGGTCAGGGACAGATGATGCTGGAGTTGGGCCCAGGGTTTGCAGGTTGTGCAAAGGGAAGTCCCACTGATGCAAGCTGGAGCGAAGAGTGATTTGCAGGGGTGTGGTGTGTGTGTGTGAAGACAGGGTTTCTCCAGGAGCAGGAAGGGGAGAAAAGCATAAGGTGTGAAGTGTGCAAAGATAGGAAATAGGGGTGAGCAAGATGAGGAGTCGGACACACTTAGGAATGAGTGTTTTCCATGAAAGAGTGGAAGACATGGGGAAAGTAAACATAGTCTCACTGAGATAGGCAGGGCCCCCAGGGCCCAGAGTTCCCCTGCATGCAGAGGAGATGGGGCTGAATCTCTTGGCAAAGAGATCCATAAAAAGACATCCTGCTGTCCAGTTAATTCTGACTCACCATGACCCTACAGAATATAGTAGCAAGGCCACAAGGGGTTTTTAAGGCTTTAAATTTTTCTAAGAGCAGGCAGCCTAATTTTTCTGCTGCAGAGGTGCTAGTGGCTTTGAACTACCAACTATGAGGTTAGCAGCCTAACAATTGATCCACTGCACCCACCCTGGGCTCCAAACATCCAGATCAGATCCTTGAAACAAAACTCTGGGAAGAGTGAAGACTGGCCAAGACAAGAAGGGAAGGACTTCGACAGATGGTCACTGAGGGGGGTAAATTAAGAAGCACAAGGAGGATCTAAAGGTCTCAACTGTAGCAAAAGGGATGACTGTGAGAGATGCTACCGAAGGTGAATTCACATAGATTTACTTCATTTTCTTTGGTCTGCACGTGCATAAAAACAGTTAAAAGGCCGGCCACAAACATAATATAAGTCATGCCTGAAAGACTTTAATTTTTGGCAGGCCACCTGAAAATCGATACTTTCATTTAAAAAGTGAAGTGAGAGGGGACAGACCACAAATCCACATCCACATCGATCACCGCTGGTGACTTTGAGAGCATTTGCTTCCAGCGGAACCCACAGAGTTAGCTCTGTTGAAACGCCGTGGTTTGATTTCCAACTAGAAATCAAAGTCCCCTTCTGTGCAGATCAAATCCCAGCACAGGAGGGAACACTCAGACAGCCGAGCCACAAAGCTGGGTCAAGAGGTGCAGGACACTGTAGAGGGAGGCTGTGGATGTCAGCGATGACACCTGCAAGGCAAGGGATTTGAGAGCCGGACTGGAGATGAGTGTAAACATGAAGGGTGTTTATCTATCCGACTGGAGAGAATCTGTTTTAGGAACGTGTGACTTCAGACTATGCATAAAGGGCTGGTGCATTACCCAAGGCCGGCAGATGAGAAATGTAACAACTAGTGCAAAAGTCATCCAGACCCACCCGATTCTGCCCTGATTTCTAAGTGCTTGAGAATTAACCCAGGTGAACTAATTCTTCAGGAAAGGCTCACAGCAGAGATGGTAATACAGGAATTCACACTAAATGGTTTGTAAAACACCGTATTTCTCAATGGTCTAGCAATTAGTAGAAGCAGCTGTGATGACATAACTCATGCCAATGACAAATTCCTTAATTTTCTAGCTTCATATACCATGCATGGAATCGGTCATAATCTCCTCTTGTCCATATACCTTTACAATCTATTGTACACAGGCAATTCCTTGTTTTCCATGTTTGTTTATTCTCTTCTGCACCTCTTATTCGGACTGTGTCAAAGCTGGCCAGCCCAGCAGTAATGTTGAAACACAAACCAAATGCCCAACAATCAACACGAGTTCATTTTATAAGCTAGGTTGTTGGCGAAGGCATATAATGAAAGGCAAGAAACAAAAATGCTCTTTGCCTATTAGCTCTAAGGCTGCGGCCCAATCTAGTCACTGGAACAAAAGAGATGAATTCACAAGGGAAGGATTCTTGGCTCACCCAGCTCCACATCCTGGTCGTCCGTGAGCACCAGGATAATGTTAGGTCGAATGTTCTTCCGTTCCTGCTGTACCCGGCCTCGGAACCTCGGCGATCTGACGGTCAAACACAGGCCCCCCAGCAATTCCATGCCCAGGACAGCCAACACCAGAGCACAGCAGGAAGACCTCATGGTATTTGGTTCAATGTCTCAAGCGCACAAGAAGCCTCGGGGTCCTAGTTTGCGAAGGGCTGGGCAGTGAGAGAGAAAGCAGAGGGTGAGACTCGGAGGAAACCCCAGCACCCAAACACAGTGCGGCAGGAGAAGGGCTACAAGTCAGTCCCGATTAAAGCCGGCATCGAAACTAGCTGCAAAAGGACTGCACATGAGTCAGAAAGAGCAGCCCCCACCCCCCAATGTTAGGGAGGTGTGTTTTTTAATGCACTTGATTATTGTGCAAATTCACTCTGTCCTTTTTGCTCATTCCCACTTTTCCTGTTTTAATTCATTGCCAAGATATCATTCCCAATGCAGAATCTACAATGGAAGAGCTTCCTGACAAGAGCAAATACCTTGAATTGGGGCTCCTGGATGAACGCTCAGTTTCTGTATTCAGAGGTGCTCAGGACATCTGCAGATGGGGTCCTCCTGGAAGAGGGAGGGGGAAATCATTCAAGGATTATTATTATTTTTAATCTGAAGCATATTTTATTGATCTTCTTTTTATCTTTTCATACTCTAAGAAGCAAAAACAAACAGCATTCAGAACTGCTACTCAATAATTCCAAGAATATCTCATCATCGATTCCACAGAAGGATGATGAGGGGATCGCCGAGGCTCATACTGCAAACAGGATTTTAGGAACCCCAACCATGCTAAGGATGGAACAGAAACGGCCAGATGCCTGTGAAACCCTTGGTGCATCCCAGCCAGGAAGCAGGGCTAGCAAGGGGCCTGGTGGGGGGAAGGGGCTGTCCACTCACCTGCTCTCAAAATTGAGTGCTTATCAAGCTGAATGAAATCAAAGCTGTCACTTGTCATCTGCATTACGTCACTCACTACCCAGGAGAGTCCTTTCTGCTGACAAACACTTCATAGTAAGTGACTAGGAGGACCTCCGTTCCCAGACTCGGAAAACCTCCTAACTGTACCCCATCAATCATCAGGGGAAGGGGCGACTCCCGGGGTCAAGGCCTATCCCACCTTCCGTCGTCCCACGCCTTTCGTGGTCTGGGCCAGCCTGCTTGCGCTGGCAGGGACAGAGCCCTCCTTGGGCTGTCAGTCACCAGCCTCACGATTGTCAAGCCTGGTGCACCGCACAGAGGTTTTGCTTTGCCGCAGGGGAGCTAAACCTGCAAAGCCAATGATGGATCCGCTCGGGGCTACACTTCCACACTCAAAAACAGAACAAAACAAAACGAAATCCACAGGGAAGCGCTGCAAAAATCTTTGCAAAGCTTCACCAGAGGAGACTTTCGAAAAGGTTGGGGGGAAATGCGTCTCTTATTGGAGAACACTAACCTGCAGAATGCTTTCCTAGCCCAGACTTCAGAAAGGTAGGGACGGGCTCATTAAAATCAAACACATTTTTTTTGGGTGGTGCCCGAGGAAACGTCTATATGGGTGTTAAGCTGCCCTAAAATTAATGAGCGAGAGCCTGTGTCATTGGCCCCTTTGTCCCCACACACCTGAGGATCTGTATTTTTGATGTGCCAGCAATCGACCAGCATCAGAACAACAGGGACAGCTAAGGAAACACAGGCGCTGCTAGTTGAAAGAAGCCGCCCTCTCCCCGGCCCCCATCCACGGCTCACCCCAGGACTCCACTCCTGGAGGGTGACAGAGAGGAACGTTGGGCACCGTTTACTCCTGCCGTAACTGGACTTTGTCTTCAACAAGCACATACACACCCCGACACCCCTATTATTTTTAACTTTATGAGCGTTTTGTAAACAGCTCTAATGCGTTTCACTCTGCAGTCTGTAATTACTCAGTGTGTATGAGAGAGAGAGAGAGAGAGAGAGAGAAGAAACTCACAAGAAACAGGTTTTTAAATAAAACTCCCGAGTCAGCAGCACAGCAACCCTGGCTTCGGAGAGTCAACACGTAAGCCTTAGTGTTGCTTTAAAAAAAACTTTATTAAATAACTTGAGTTATTTCAGGGAAGGCTGGGCATGCTGAACACCGAAAGCCTGCAATTATCCTGCACTGACTGTTTGGTTTCTGGACAATTGTTGTCAATGACAAGAACCCCAATGGCAGCATGAAAAGCTAGGGAGATGAAGAAATCAGCTGCCCCACAGCGACTCTGTCACACAACCAACCCAAACCCAAACCAAGAAGTAGAGCAGCCTGCAGAGACTGGGCCCTGTAAGAAGCAAAACTTTGCTCACCTCCTAGAGCCTGCGGAGTATAGGCTAAAAGACAGCAGGGAATGCTTGCCTCCCTCACACTGGAAACTAGCCTCTGCAGACAGAAGTGACCGGAAAACGCAATCAACCTCACTGCTCAACAAACCTAAAGAGTTTAAAGCAGCTGGGCTGGCAGGAGACTTGACTGTAAATTCCTGGCAATTAAGACACAGATAACGTAATTCAAGCATAGATAATGTTACCTGGAACTCCTTCAACATTACTAGTTAGGCTTTCCTTTCTTATTTGCGGGAATTAGCCTTACTATTACCTTACTATGACTATTGGGCTGCTCATCTAAAGGTAGGTGGAGGTGATTTGAACACAAGAGCTTTTCCTTGGGAGAAAAATGAGGCAGCTGGCACATAGCCTTGGAAATCCGTATGGAACAGGATTGCTTTGTCCGAGAAGGCCCCCAGGAGTTGGAATGGGCTCAGGAGGCAGCAGGTAAGAAAACAAAGAGAAGGAAGAGTAGAGGTGGTTTTCACTGATTAAGGGAACTTCCCTTTGGGTGGGTGAGAGGGGACACCTCGCTTTTCTGCTGTCATTTATTACTCAATCAGGGGTGGGTATAGTGGAGAAAGTGAGCAGTCGAGATCACTGAGCTAACAGACAGAGCTGGCCAACCCGGGATCCTGCCTACACTGAAACACACACGAAACACACTCCTCTGAAAGAAAAGTCCCCCCGAACAATCCTTTATTCAAAACTGACCTTTTAGAACCTGTGATCTTCTCACTGTCTGGTTTCCAATTTGGTAAGAAAGAAAACCAGGAGGGGGGCGCTTGGTGAGGGGGGGGGGAGGAAAAGCCCCCGACTTTACAAAGCGCAGAGAAGACCAGCCCACAATGTGGTGGGTGACCAACGTCCTTAGAGATCAAGAGTTTGTCTCAGGGAATCACCGAAAATGGGAGAAATGTAAAAAGAAGTTCTTCTCACACATGGAGAGCGAGCTTGAAGACCTGGGTTGTATTCATGGATCAGGACCAGCATACAGGCAGCCTGTTTTCCAAGTCGCAGAATGAACCCACCCCATTGTAAGTATGGTTCGCTGGTGTCACAGTGGTTGACGGGCTGTGAGCAGGGCCGTCAAAGTCAAAAGACAAATGAGGCATTAACCTTTTCAAGAGACTGAAAAGAGAAAAAATGATTTGGAAGGCTTCCTGACAAGGAAGACAGGCAGTTCATGCACATCAACCTGTCTGACAATACTCAAAAGTAAATCCAAGATCACACCACGCCATAGATTGGAGGAGGTTTCTGTGTTGGCCAAGCCTTCTTAGGCGGGGCAGTTATTGCTGAGATAAAGAACGGTGACAATATGTCAAAAGTACGCCGTTTCTACAAGGCAGCAACTCTCGAAATGTAATCGGGGAGTTTGCAGGGCGGGCCCCTGAGAGTCTCTGGGGGGTATCCAAAGGTCAAAATTATTTTGATAAGCCTCCCAGACCTCACTGGTTGTTTTCACTTTGTTAATTGGCATCCGAGTTGATGGGCCAGCTGCTTTGCACGTGGGGGAATGACGAGGGCGGCCCATGCAGTTTGTTTGGTTTTCTAATGTCAGTCTCCTTCAGGTTCTTTCTCCGGGCAGTGCTCATTTACTGAAAGAATTATAAAACTCAAATACACATCTTCGAGCTTTGTGTTTTTCCTGCTTCATCAACAAGGAGATACACCTACAACGCCACTGCTGCCGAGTAACGGATGATGTTGTCCTGAGGAAAGGAGCGTATGTGACTATTTGGTGAGCGAATTAGCCACTTTCATTTCTTCTCCATGAAGAACCATCTCTCCTAGAGAGGGTTACTTGGACTTAGAGATTTGGAAGGTATTTTCTCAAAATGAGAATGAAATGATTCTGTCATTTGGAGGAAAACAGCGGACCGTATTGTTATATTTGTTGCCAATGAGAAAATCTTAGCTTTCTATATAGAATCAGAGTTTTAGGAAAATTGTATCTGGTACTAAGAATGTGGCACTTCCTAATGCACAGTCTTTTCTGAAGTATTGGTGGTGATATTAACAAATGTTACTTTTTGATAGTGTAAAGCAATGTGTTAATATTTGGATGATTTGCATAATTCACAATTCAGTGAACCACTACTTCCCAAATGGCCATGTGTAATATTATAAAATAATTCATGAGTTAAAAAAATCCATTCGAAGTGTAAGCTCACCATCAGATCTACATGTAATATGAGTTAATTCATTGATAAGGTTTCAGATTCTTTATTAAAATCAATCTTTGAAAAAGTACTATTTGTCAAGTTTTTGTGTAGTATTAAAGAGAATACGAAACTACCATCTAGCTCTTAAGGACAAAGATAAGGCTTTCTACTCCCATAATGAATTACAGTCTTGGAAACCCACCAGAGCAGTTGTACCTTGTCCTACAAGGGACCTGCGTTTGGACGTAGCCAGAGCATGCTTAGTTTAAGGTCAGAAACAAATAGGATTATATCAGTAAGAAACTGGTATCTACCTCCTCTCCCTCTCCTGCCTGCAATCTACATACTCACACTTTTTTGAGTCCCTTTAAATAGCCCTTTTCCCTTAGTTTTTGGCTTTAAAATTTCCAACATATCATTTCTTTGCTTCAGAGGAAGCCTTCAGGTTATGTTATCTGTCTCACTCTAATAAATGTGATACTCTAAAGAAGCTACATTTCAATGTCTTCTTAGAACAACCCTATAACTGGCAAAGTTCATCTACTGTTCATCCCAAGGAGCCCGTTTCCCAGTGTGATTTATTACAACTCAAGTAGAGAGATAACAGCCTTCTTCTGCAACGGTAATATTTTTATGACCCTATAATAGTAAATAGAAGCCCTGGTGGTATAGTGGTTACATGTTGGGCTGCTAACCACAAGGTGAGTAGCTCTACAGGGGAAATCTGAAGCATTCTACTCTCATAAAAAGTTTCAGTTTTGGTAAACAATCCTGAGGCAAAAACAAAGGGACCAATTGTTCCAGGGGGATGCGGGAGGTGAGGGAAAAGAAGTGGGTGTTAACAAATCCAGGGATAAGGGAACAACAAGTGATCTAAAATTGTTGTTGAGGAGGCCTGGTAGGGCTTGATCAAGGGCAATGTAGCCAAGAGGAATTACTGAAAACCCAGGTGAAGGCTAAACATGATAGTGAGACAAGAGGAAAGTAAAAGGAAATAGAGGAAGGAACTAGGAGGCAAAGGGCATTTATAGAGGTCTAATTACAGGCATGTACATATGTAGATATATT